GAAAAATTAAACTAAAATAATCCTCAAGGTATGCACTATTTAATGTATATTGTTATTTTATGTGTAGTTTTACGTATTTAGTGTTGTGTAATGTCCAATTTATGTGTATGTTTTTAGAAAACTAACATGCGTTCTCCGTGTTTCGTGGAATATAACTAATGAGCTGCTCCATGCTGACAGCAACTAATTGGTCCAGAATGTACTTGTGAGTGTTGTCTTTAGCCACAAACCAAAAACTCATCCCCGTTCGTCCCCCTTTTCTCGCATTTTGGTAATTTATAGGCACGTTTGAGTTTACTCACAGCGAACTTTTTGAAATATGGCGCAGCGGCAATCGCAAAATTCAATGTGTATCTGATTGGATATACACAAAAATTAATAAAAACGCTTTGGAATCGAATACGATAAAGGAAATTGACAAAAAAATGAGTAATTTTAATATTTATATTCATAAACGGCTTCTCAAATATAACTACATGCTTGAACGGTTCATGTCTAAGCATACTGTATGGTTGGAATCAAAACAAGAAAGGAAAGCTAACTTCGGGCGGAGCCGAAGTTTATATACCCTTGCAGTTAAAACCGGATATATATCGCAAACATCGGATATAGTTGGCCGATCCTTATGGGAATAGGAATATATACTCCAATTTATTACAATACAAAATCTAAAAAAAGTCCCAAACTTCTATCTTCAAAAATACGAAAGTTGATATTTCTACCAAATACCATTTCCGATCGTTCAGTTATATGGCAGCTATAGGATATAGTCGGCCGATCCTAATGAAATTTGGTAGGTTGGATCAACTGACCAAAAATAGAGTCTGTACTAAATTCCAGTTTTCTATCTTCAAAAACACGAAAGTTGGGTCATTTCCGATTGTTCAGTTATATGGCAGCTATAGGATATAGTCGGCCGATCCTTATGAAATTTGGCATGTCGTATTATTTTGTATTATTAAAAATAGCTCTCACCTAAAATTTGAACTCTCTAACTTTAAAAGTACCAAAGTTATACCATTTCCGATCAATCAGTTATATGGCAGCTATAGGATATAGTCGGCCGATCCGGGCCGTTCCGACTTATATACTGCGTGCAAAGGAAAGAAGGGTGTGTGCAAAGTTTCAAGACGATAGCTTTAAAACTGAGAGACTAGTTTGCGTAGAAACAGACAGACGGACAGACAGACAGACGGACAGACGGACATGCTCATATCAACTCAGGAGGTGATCCTGATCAAGAATATATATACTTTATAGGGTCGGAGATGTCTCCTTCACTGCGTTGCACACTTTTGGACAAAATTATAATACCCTCTGCAAGGGTATAAATATCAATTACTATTGATGAATCCTGCAAAACACCACAGCAGATGGGACGTCCAACCTTATCTTACACGAATGCGGGTACAAGATTAAAAAGAAAATTTGCATCTGAGAAATCGCCATTTCTTCCAATCATTATATAAATTCGGAAAAATTTCGCTCATTTTGTGAAACAACTTTTTTATTATATTTGCGAAGCTACCCTTGGTATCCGATGTCACCAACAATTCATAAAATATTGGTTCATGGTTACCAGATTAATAATTCGAGCTTAGTTCCACTAGGATGCTTAGGCGAAAATGCTTCTGAAGCTCGCAACAAAATATACAAAAAAGATAGATTGTCGCATTCAAGGAAAAATAGTCGTCTCAATACTATGAGAGATATATTTCACAGAGCTATAGATTCCTCGGATCCATTATTATCGAGTGTATCTCTAAGGGAAAGAGAAAAAAAAAATAAAAAGAAACCTTTCTCAAAAGAGATATTAAGTCTTTTGGACCTTCCGTTCACAGCAGAAAATGAGAATGATCTGCAGTGCGATTCTGACGACGATCTGGATAATTATAATATTGAATTGAATATTGAATTGGATGAAGAAGAAAATTGCATTTAAAAAATAAGTAAGTAAATGAATAGAACAGGAAATAATATATATTTATTCTTAATCAGTTTGCAGGGGCGGCAGGCGTGGGCGTGGTCGCACTGACCCAAGTTTTTGTATAGAAATTTTTAATGCCATAAAAATAAATTCTGCAAAGTTTGAACCCTGTAGCTCAATTTTTCGACTTTATGCCAAAAAAAAAACGGGTTCTGGACCATAGTGCAGTGCACTGGTACTAGTACTAGTTTAAAAAATATATAAAATAATTGTTAAAAATATATTTTGTTAAGTCTATTCTCCTAAAAGCGTCCCTTAATATAAAATTTATTAAAGAGGAATTTAATCCTTCGTAAATTTCCTATTTCCATTTTCTCAATTTAATTTAAATTTTTCAAACAGCACGCAAAAAATTTTTCACGTGTTTCACGCACATCTCAGAAGCAAGGCCGCCAAACTTCTTTAAACCGTAGCAGAGCCCGCTACCAACAAAATGCGGTGGAAATAGGAAACAGGAACAGGAAGCACGGGCTCAGGGGAGACGCACCGAATAGATCCGCAATCTAGAGCGACTTCGGGATACTGCAGCACATGCTGATCGGAGTTTGGATCTTAAATTCCGTGTTCCAGAGAGGATTCGGGACATGAAAGAAAATGCAAACCAACGGGAGAACCCGGAGGAACGGCGACGAAAGCAATTGCAAATCACTGCTGACCATTCTTTCCGGAGGGTTAATCCAGAAATACGTTCCACAGGGCGGATTCGGGACGCAGAATCGCATTTTGATCGTCGTCAGAGGATTCGGGACATGGAAGCACGGGCGATTCGTCAAGAAGACTCCGAGGAGCGGCGACGATAGCAGTTACAAAACACTGCTGACCATTCTACTTGAAGGGATTATCCAGAGCACCGAAATCCCGAACGGATTAGGGGCATGGAGGCACACGCGGCCAGCCAAGATGACCTGGAAGAGCGGCGACGAGAGCCGGTGCAAAATACTGCTGACCATGCGACGCGCAGGACTATCCTAGAGTACCGAAATCCGGAACGGGTTCGGGATGCCACAGCTCGTGCTATTCGTCGAGAGGACTCCGAGGAGCGGAGACAAGAGCAGGTGCAAAATACTGCTGATCATGCCTCTCGGAGGACCAATCCCGAATTTCAAATCAAGAGCGGATTCGGGACGCCGTAGCGCGAGCTGCTCATTGCGAGGATCCAGAAAAATGTGCAAGGGAACAGGAAAAGAACACTGGAGAACACCGACAGCGTCGAAGGAATACGGAAGACAGGCACCGAGAGCTAGAGGACGAACTGGAACAGGAACGACAGCAACAGCGAAGTAGGATTCGAGTATCAGCGAAGGATCTTTATCACAGAAACATAAAGGAAGGACTACCGGAAATTAGTATTTGCTGTTGAGGAACATGGTTCCGTTCGCAGGTAAGTGGATTATACATCTTGGCTATCTCATCTTAACTTCCTCTCCTAAACTTTTGCAACGCTTTTAATTTGTGAAGAAAATTTCCTAGTCCGTCCGGTAAATATAATTTTTGCCACACTTGTCGTCGTGCATTCTCTCTTGGAAAACTGCAATCACTCTGCCTTTCTAATGGTTTCGACTTCCCGAAAATTCCTGAGTGCTTGAATGGACTCACCTGCCGCGAAAAACGCCTTATCTCACGAGAATTCTTTTTATGAGGGTTATTTCCCTCGGCAGTGAACTTTCCAATTTCAGTTCCAGATATTGTGACTGCGCTTCCGCGCTCTTTCGACTCTACCCATGTCATCCAAGTCCATTAAAAAAGGAGACTAGAGTACGCACACAATTTCATGACTTAAACTACCCGCTCGGGTCTTTGAAACTGTACGGAACATAGTGAATACCAAGCTCAACAAAAAGCACAACATTTCAATGAACGAATCACGAAGAAGAACTCATGGTAAAAGAACTTCAAGGAATTAATGAAATTCCTTTCATTGCGGATGAATCCGATCGCGAAGCAGTAGAGCAACTTCTTCACCAGCAACACCACTCACAAAATACTGCAGAGCTCAAAGAAAATTTAAATCCCGGAGGCCATGAAACATTTAAAGAAAATACAACTCATGCGAAAAAGCCAGATCTCAAATCTGATTTTACGACCATCGTTGCGCTATAGTTCCCAATGTTTTATACATGTATAAATTTTACAAAATGCAGCGTATACAAAATTTGATTTTAATTGCTTTACGCAAAAAGTCAGGAGCGGTTACCGCTGGTGATTTGCGGGATAAGTCATTTGTTGACAAACTTGTGCAACATGATTATGGCTACCATATCCTTAAAGGCTTACGGTCTGCACCAGCTCATTGGGAGACTGAGAAAAAAAGGTTATAGAAATGATTCGCCAATTGGGGCTACCACAGTTTTTCATAGCTCTTTCCGATGCAAAAACTAAGTGGGATGAACTTTTAGTTATCCTTTTCTTCTATTGGACAATAGGGTTAAAAGCGGGGAAGAAACGGCAGCTCTTTCCAGCTACGAAAAGGTTCGGTTAATCCGATCCGATTTAGTGTCGTGCTCTTGATACTTCGATTACAGGTTGCGACAATTAATGAAAATATTCAAAACCGATATTTCTCGGGAATTCATTCTCATTCATTCTCATTTTTATTGAAGAATCGAATTCCAGCACAGAGGATCTCCGCACTCTCACGGCATGTATTGGCTTGCTGGTGCTCCCACCCACCTTGAAACTAATTTGGAGCCTTCAAATTAGCCTTACTTTCTAGCTTGAAAAAGCCACAAATTTTTCTTCGCAGACAATTCTTTGACGGACTGATCAATGCTTATAATATGGATATTCCATTTTTTTTTTTTTTCCCGGTTTTTCAGAAATTGAAATGGCTTGTGCGTCAGTTAGAGCATCAGCTAGCATTTCCCCTTACATTAATTGACTTGGGTTGTCGATAAAAAAAGTACAAAAGAACAGGGAAATAGTGTTATGAAATATGCAAGCGTATTCTTCGACTGCTGCCGAAGTTTTTTCGCCATTTTTCGTTTTTTTATTCCATATTTATTGTACGACTTACCCAATGCAAATGAAGGATGAAAAGGAGATCCAATAACCACAAAAGCTACGCAAATCCGCAAGAGTTTAAGGCTTCTTTGTAAATAGGGCGCTAGAAGTCGGGTCTGCGCCACGTTAAGTGCCAATTTTGATGATACGCTATTCATCTGTACGCCTCATCCTTTGTTCGAGTTTTCGGAAAGAGTTTGGCAGGTGTGTAAATGCATAATTTTTATTTAATAAAAGAAGTTATTTTTTACGATCATGTAGTCGTTCATATGGTCATAGTACGCTCTGATAGTTCGATGACTAGATATTTTCGGTAGTTCTACTAAGGCCTGGCAGTTTTCTTATCAATGATCCTATCGCCTACTAAAAAAAATGTATATCAATAAATTATTTTAATGAAAATAGAGAACAATTTTTTATTATTACAGAATATACAAAAATTTCCAAAAACAAGAAAGAAAAGCTAATTTTTGGCGTAGCCAAAGATGATATACCCTTGCGGCTTAAATCGAATATATCGAAACATACGCATAAAGTTGACCAATACAATTTCATAATCAAATCAATTTATTATAATAAAAAATTTAAAAAAATTGCTAAGCTTTTATCTCCAAAAATACCAAAGTTGGTATATTTACCAAATACCATTTCCGATCGATCAGTTATATGGCAGCTGTAGGATATGGTCGACCTATTCTGATCAATTGGTAAAAAAAAGAATCTGTGTAAAGTTCTTACCTTCTTTAAAAACACCAAAGTTGAGACAGCTAAAGGATAAAGTCGGCCGACCCCAATGAAATTTGGTGTGTCATATTGATTTACCAAATATACATAGAAAATCCCGACTCTAACTCTAAAAGTTCTAGCTTTAAAAACATCATGTTATACCATTTCCGATCAATCAGTTGGCAGCTAAAGAAGGGTGTGTGCAAAGTTTTAAGTCGAGAGCTATTAAACTGAGAGACTAGTTCGCGTAGAAACAGACAGACAGGCGGACAGACAGAAAGTTTGAACTTCGTACAAATTCTATTTTTGGTTAGTTGATCCGACATATCAACTTTCATAACGATCGCCAGTCTATATAGCTATAGTCTTATAGCTAAGAATAATTATTATTTTGTCTTTAATACATAAAATAATACAAAAAATAATATTTTTTATATGCTACATAGTCTCTCAGCTTAAAAACTATCAACTTTTTACAAATTTTTTTTCCTTTGCACGCAGTATATAAGTCCGAACTGCCGGGATCAGCCGAGTTATTTTATAACTGCCATAAAACTGATGTATCGGAAATGCGATACCTTTGGTGTTTGTTACGTTTGGGAGATAAGATTTCTATTTGTTTTAAAATAAGACCAACCAATCTTCATTTTACCAATTTTCAAAGGGATCGACCGTCTATATTTTATAGATGCCATATTACTGATTGATCGGAAATGCCATACCTTTTGGGTTTTTCTTAAATAAGATAGATGGAGAAACTTTCTATAGGCCAACTGTTCTGTTTAAAGCCAACTGATCTGACCTTACAAATTTTACAAGGATCTGCCGACTTGATGTATAGCTTCCATAAAACTGATTAATCGGAAATTCCATAACTTTGGTGGTTTTTAAGGATGTTTATGTTCCGGCCTACTTTAAGAGGTTATTTAAAAAAAAATTTGTTGTAATTAAAAACAAGAAAGCAAAGCTAACTTGGGGCAGAGCCGAAGTTGATATACCCTTGCAGCTAAAACCGGATATATATCGCAAACATTGGATATAGTTGGCCGATCCTTATGATTACATCATAATAAAACCAATTAATTACAATAAAAAATCTAACAAGAAAGGAAAGCTAACTTCGGGCGGAGCCGAAGTTTATATACCCTTGCAGCTAAAACCGGATATATATCGCAAACATCGGATATAGTTGGCCGATCCTTATGAAATTTGGTAGGATGGATCAAAATTTAATCTGTACCAAGTTCCAGCTTTCTATCTTCAAAAACACAAAAGTTGGGTCATTTCCGATCGTTCAGTTATATGGCAGCTATAGGATATAGTCGGCCGATCCTTATGAAATTTGGTACTTTGGATCAACTGACCAAAAATAGAATCTGTATTAAATTTCTATCTTCAAAAAAACGAAAGTTGGGTCATTTCCGATCGTTCAGTTATATGGCAGCTATAAGATATAGTCGGCCGATCCTTATGAAATTTGGCATGTCGTAATGTGTTGCCAAAAATAAAATTAAAAATTCAAATAAAAATCAAATAAATCAAATAAAAATTTGAAGTCTCTAACTCTAAAAACACCAAAGTTATACCATTTCCGATCAATCAGTTATATGGCAGCTATAGGTTAAAGTCGGCCGATCCCGGCCGTTCCGACTTATATACTGCGTGCAAAGGAAAGAAGGGTGTATGCAAAGTTTTAAGTCAATAGCTTCAAAACTGAGAGACTAGTTTGCGTAGAAACAGACAGACGGACAGACGGTCAGACGGACAGACGGACATGCTCATATCAACTCAGGAGGTGATCCTGATCAAGAACATATATACTTTATAGGGTCGGAGATGTCTCCTTCACTGCGTTGCACACTTTTGGACAAAATTATAATACCCTCTGCAAGGGTATAATAATGCGATCGTTGCAATTTACTAATCATTAAAAATAAATGATTCTATTACGGGATAGAGGTGTCACTTTTTAGAAAAACATATCCAAATTTCAGCTAGATCGGTACCATAGAATTTTGTGAATCACCTGCGCCGCACACTAAAATGTCGTTCCGAGAAACACGCGTTTAAAGTTTAGACGCTACCGAGTAACTCATACTATTCGGTGTAGGCACGCTCTCGATTATGGGCTGTATCTCTGTCATTATTTGATATTTTTATTTGAAACTTCAACAGTACATTCTTAATAAACTTTCGAAATATGTGAAAAAAATCGATTTTTCAACCTCACACATGAGACTACATCCTTAAATGGTGATTATTAAAATGGTTTTATTTTTATAGCCTTGCCCTTATTATTATACACTTGCAGAGGGTATTATAATTTTGGTCAAAAGTGTGCAACGCAGTGAAGGAGACATCTCCGACCCTATAAAGTATATATATTCTTGATCAGGATCACCTCCTGAGTTGATATGAGCATGTCCGTCTGTCCGTCTGTCTGTCCGTCTGTCTGTTTCTACGCGAACTAGTCTCTCAGTTTTAAAGCTATCGTCTTGAAACTTTGCACACACCCTTCTTTTCTTTGCACGCAGTATATAAGTCGGAACGGCCCGGATCGGCTGACTATATCCTATAGCTGCCATATAACTGATTGATCGGAAATGGTATAACTTTTGTGTTTTTAGAGTTAGAGAGTTCAAATTTGACATGAGAGCTATTTTTGGCAAAACATTACGTCATGCCAAATTTCATAAGGATCGGCCGACTATATTCTATAGCTGCCATATAACTGAACGATCGGAAATGGTATTTGGTAGAAATATCAACTTTCGTATTTTCGAAGATAGAAGTTTGGGACTTTTTTTAGATTTTGTATTGTAATAAATTGGATTATATATTCCTATTCAGGTAAGGATCGGCCAACTATATCCGATGTTTGCGATATATATCCGGTTTTAACTGCAAGGGTATATAAACTTCGGCTCCGCCCGAAGTTAGCTTTCCTTTCTTGTTACCCTTATAATTTTGGTAAAAAGTGCGCAGCGCAGTGAAGGAGACATCTGAATGAGATTTGTTTATCTCACACTATAAAAAATATAACAAAAAAGGGTGGCTTCTGAATATTTAAAAGTGGCGGAAAACGAAAAAACGATCTGTCCTCTTCAACGTTATAATTCCGAATATACTTTTCTCTCATCTTAAGCCTAACTTATCTATTGCGGCGAAGCGGGGCGAATTCGCACAAGAGCGAATATGAGTTTTCGCTCCCGCTCCGCCCTAAGCTACCTTAGAGTAAATTTAGAGACTTACAACTACAAAATACAATTCAAAATAAAACAACTTCAAATAATTTCAAATCTAATTATATGCGATGAATCCGTTAACACCGGCCCCGTTGAAGGCCTCCACCCGGCTTCAACCCACTGGCAGCTGCCTGACGACGGCGACCCTGACCCTTTCGTCCGCGCCGGCGTGCGTTGCTCCTACCCTTCCTGTGAGCCACTGTTGTGGCGGCTGGTGATCCTCTGCGATCAGGACCAGCTCGCCCGTCCGAATGTCGTCCTCCTGGTTCAACCACTTCAACCGCGTACTCCCGGGACCATCGCTGCCAAAACATTTGCTTGACCAGACAAGCCACCATCGCCGCAAGCACGTTAGACCCTGCTGGTCCGGGATCCGCGGTGCTGGTGGGGCGATGAGCCTGTCAACAGGTGCCCGGGAGTAAGCGACACGCCGTCGCTTGGGTCCTGACTCAGAGCCCCCAGGGGTAGTGAGTTCAGGACGGCCTCGACTCCAACGATGACGGTCTGCAGCTCCTCCGCGGTCCACTTGGCGTTCCCTACCGCTCGCAGGAGTAGGTGCTTGGAAGACTTCACACCTGCGTCCCAAAGTCCGCCCATGTGAAGAGCCCGCGGCGGTATGAACGCAAATATGCCTCTTTTTTTTATGCGTATTGCGTAACTGTGTCGACCTCGTCTTGATCCTCCGACGAAGCTCCGCGAAGTGGCGACTCGCTCCGACGAAGTTCGTCGCGTTGTGCACGATCTGCGGACATCCTCGTCGCCCAACGAACCTTTTAAAAGCCAACAAAAAGGAAAGTTGAAAGGTCGGAAACTATTTCTAAATGAACTGCTTTGGACGCAAAACAAACCAATAAGGCAATGTAGGACTTATAGGGTGACCTAGCACAAATTTTCAATGTCGTATGAATAGGGCCACAAAAATCAACACCACATATGGAGAATGGGCGGAGAGCACGAAATCTATCTAAGGGTTAATCTCCCATTATTTAAGTCATCAGTTGAGGCTTGCATTTAAAGAAGGGTATGCATGACCGTACTATCTGACTCTAGACTTCCTGCGCATTTACGACCCATATGCGCTGTCGCAAAAGACTCACAAATACTCGTGGTTGTTTGTTTGTTGCTTACAATGTTTAGTTGGTACATTCCGCCACGTGCTATCATCTGGGATGATACGTTCCCACGTGGGACGTCGACGTAAAAGTCGGGCCCGATAACTTTGGCAGCTCGAGGGAATGTATTTTTCACAGATTCACTCAACCTCTTCAAACACCTTATGGCCAGGAGTGGGGCTGGTGCAGTGCCATATGTAACGGTGTTGAGCTTGCACAGTTTCAAGGACTCTGATGGGTCTTTTCTTCACACTATCAACTGGTATCGCTTAT